TGGGTAAATATCAAAGCTGAGACCCAGCAGTTAAAGATTGATGCTCCTAATTTAAGAAAAGTGCCCTGAACCTGATTGACGTGTTTTATTTTGTTATTATTAAGAATCTAAAAATGTCTGCGCACAGTTTTAATAAAGAAAACTGCTTTTATTAACGACAGCAGCTGAGTTTTTATGAAACGCTGCGGAGGAAACGGCGACGCGTTAAAACGAAGTCCGTTTTAAAGCGGCTGAAATGCTACTTTATAACGTTAAAGCACAGGAAGTTTGCAGCGTATCATGGTTTTGTTGCTCCGCAGGGCCTGAATTTTAAATTTTAATTGATCAAATTATTTAACCGTTTTGATCATTTGCGAGACTTTTTAACAAACCGTATTTATTTTGATTTAAAGTTAATTTTACACGTATTTATCGTTTTACTGCGGGAGAAAAAGCCGACGCAGCTCCCAACTGAACTTTATTAACATTTTCTGCTGTTGAGTCTTATTTTGAGTCTCAGCTCATAAACTGGTAATTTATACTGGTCAATTATTAGATTTTTAAATGAAAGTCAGGTGACCCAAAACATTTTTAATGTTTGGTTCTTCGTAAGTTTCACTGGTTTTACACAGCCAAGGCCTATTTATATTGTTTTAAATGGATTAAACAAGGTAAACAATGATTAAACTAATAATTGTTAGTTTAATTGACTTAAACTGCTTTTGTCTTCCCCCACACCAAAAAAAATAAAAATCTGATCTGAACCATAGAAGCACTTTGAGAGACCAAACGTGCATTTTCTGCTAATTTACTATGTTTTATTTTTAATAATTCAGCCATTTTAAAGACTAATTGTATGAAACTTGGCCAAGATTCGTTTATTATTATTTTTAAAACTCTAGTTCTATTCCTTCTATCATAAGTTGTATAAAACAGGAGATCTGCTCACACACTCACTTTAGTCCCATTGACTCCCATTATAAACATATTTTTATGCACTATAACCCCGACGCTGTATAATGTAATTTTATGACAAAAAGACCTAAAAAGTACAAATAATAATTATATTTGTACAATCATGATGTTTAACAACCCATTAAAATACAAGAAAAATGCAGGAAATCACATCGACTTTATTCAAAATTTTCTGGGGGAGGAAACTTTTTCTCCCCTGAACCCAAAACGTTTGAGAACCACTGGTTTAATGTATTTGTTGCTGTGGAAATATTTTTAATTAAAAAATTTTTTTAAATTACGCTTTTATAAGAAGGCCTGACTTGGTACCTAAAGGTAAAAAGTGCAGATTTTTATTGTATTTTGTAAAAATGCATCAAAATTAATGTTATTAATTACTGGCCTGGTCAAGGTCGTAATAACCTAAATGGAAATATTCTTCTCATCTTATTCTTGGAGAAAGATTAGAGTCAGTGAAAGTAAAAAAAAAAAAAAAATCATATGTTACATAAACGTAGTCATATTAAAGGTTTTTCCAGGTTTTACTGGAACCAGTATCTGTGTCTGGTACTGGACCTTCTCTGGCTTTAAATTGACTTTTGGAATAATACCCTCAGAATTATTAGACTGTAAAAACCCTAAAAGTTTTATTTAACAGCTAGTTTAAAAGGCATTATTATTTGGTAAAACGGTTTACTTTCTATATCTGCATTTCCATAAAGTTTTATTTTGTTTCTTTGAAGTAATTTCAGGGTTTATCTAGTTCTTTAAAACATAAAAGATCTTAAAGTAATCTTCTGCTGTGGTTTAATGTTCTCATCTTAAAGTCAATTTTTACAAAATGTTTATTTAAAACTAAACTACTAAACTACACTTAAAACACAAAAATGTAAATGCTAATTATCTAAATATTACTTTAATTATCTAAAATAAGAGTTTATTTTGTTTTTTAATAAGCCAAACTGATTTTCCCGCTTTAATAATCGGCTTTATTAACTCACGCGTCGGCTAGTAAAATATTTTAACTATTTTAACTATTTTAAGCTAACTAGTTTAGCATTTGATTTGCGTTAACATAACTATATATTTATTTTGACATTTTAAATATGCAAAGTGACACAGAGAGTTGTGCAACATGGAAACAAAAAGAGAAATTAAAATTTATAAACAGGAAAATATAATTTTTATTTACGTTACTTGAGTTTTTTTGGGGGGGGAAGAAGTTTAAAAAGTTTTTAAATCTGCTTTAACTGTTTTGTTTTTAAGTTTATGTTAAAACATTTTCTTATAAAAATTTTAAAAAAGCGTAGCGTAATACCTCTTTAGTGTCGATGCTAAGCTAATCATGCTAATTTTTGTAAAACTGAGGCTAACGTCAAAGTTAGCTTAACTAGCTAATAATATCCTCGCTACAAAAAGTTTATTTTGTCATAATTGAGTCAGAAATAAACGCTTTGTCTTAAATTAATAACGTAAAAATTTGTTTCTTCAACTCTGCCAGGATAAACACAAGAGCCAAAATGGCCGCCAGAATTTTCAGTCACCTTCAGTCTTTTTCTATTCAAAGTTTTTCTCTGATGTTTGAAAGCAGCTTCAGCTTATTTCTACAAATATTTAAAAAAAAGGGTCTTAATATTATAATTCTTCACAAATTTCATAATATAGACATTTATTTTTTTATTTAGACATTTTTAAGCCTTTAAAGACGGTTCAGAAATCCTGCTTTAGTGTTTTTAGCTCATAAAACTGACTCAAAACCGAGGATTATAAAACGTGTGGCTTTTTAAAAAATTTATTCCTGCAATAAATATATTTTTATAAAACCAAAACTTAAACGTTTTTGTTGATTTTATTGTATTTTAGAATAAATATAAAGAAAATGTTTTGTTAGTTTGAAGCAAAAGTATTATTATTATAGTAACAGTTTGAAAACCTGCAGTTTTATCCAGACGATAAAAAAAAAAAAAACACCAGAGTCCTACCTGCTGAGGGGAGCACCGAGGCCAGGACCAGCAGGCCAGATACCCAGGTCTGGAGCTCCATGTTCGACCAGTTTGACCCAGAAGACCGTTTCTTCAGCCTGGTGCGAGGATCGAAGTGAACGGAGCGGAGCAGCCTTCTTCGAGTCTGAAGTGGAACAGGAAGTGGTAAAGCGCCGCTGCCAGCAGGTGACACAGCGACACACTTTACATGACGCTCTCTCCCACACGGAAGAAACTCAGATCGCACGGTTTGTTTATTACGCAGCTTTGATGTTCGAGCTGCTGCCGAAGCAAATCTTTAAAAACAATCATCGGCACCAAAAAGTTTTCTTTTACGGCAGATGAAACTTTGTTTTTGAACGTTTACAACAGTACAAACATCATTTAAAGCATGAAAATCATTTAGAAATACTTTACAGACACTGAAGCTGAAGTCACAGGGGACGGACGCCTCCTGGTGGCTGTTCCCGGTAAAAGATTTAAGCCCCGCCCCCTGCACATAAACCAATGGGACATTTTCCTGCCCTGTCCAGGTTGATGTGTGTGTGGATAATGGAGCTTCAGGATTATTTGCGACTTTCCTCCCAGTTCTGTGAGCTTGATAGATAGCACAGATTTGCGTTGTAAAATGTTCCCTCCATTTCAGCAGAAAGCAGCGGCTGGAAGCACTGTTGGCTTCTGGGTAGTGTAGTTCTTTTGACTGGCATTACAGTACAGGCTTTTTGAAAGAGAACTACAAAATGGCGGCGCCTGTCCTAAGTATTTTTTTTTCCATTAACTTTTCATCCCGTACTGTCGCAATCATGTGAGGAATATTAAATTTGACAATCGTTGAAAAACTGCGAGAGAGTGAGTCCATGAAAATCGACCTGCGAAGTAGCGAGGGACTACTGTAGTTTTTACCTTGCTACCGTTTGTCCAAATATGCTTAAACATTTTAGTTTTAATGAGTTATTTAAGCCTTAAATAAAAGTCATGTTCCACTGTGATTGATAACCTGTTAGCTAGTTGGGAGGGCTTGGAGGCGGGGCTTCTGTCTCATGGTTACCGCCCCCTGTCCTAAATGACAGGCTCCTAAACTAAAACATAGAAAACATTTAATCAGCTGTTCTTCCAGTGATTAAACTTTTTTTTAATGTTTACAACAGTAAAAATATAATTTAAAGTGCGTAAATCATCTAGAAACACTTTACAGATACTGAAGCCACAGGGGACGGACGCCTTTGATGGCTGGACTGGTAAAATATTTAAGCCCCGCCCCCTCTGCGTAAACCAATGGGACATTTTCCCCAACAAAGAATAAAAATAACTTTGATATTTTATTTTCTGCTTTGTTTTTGTAGGGTTTTTACCTCGCTACCGTTTGTCCAAATATGCTTAAAAGTTTTAATGAGTTATTTAAGCCTTACACAAAAGTCATGTTCCAGTGTGACTGACAGCCTGTTAGCCAGTTGGGAGGGATTGGAGGCGGGGCCTCTGTCTAAATGTTACCGCCCCCTGTCCCGACTGACAAGTTCCAAAACTAAAACATAAAAGAAAGAGAGTGGTTAGCCCACTTTAGGAGTTTCTTTAAAATCCATCCAGTGGTTCATGAGAAATTTTGCTAACAGACACATGGACAGAATATAAGAATAAGAATATATAAATAAATAAAAACCTTACATTTTAAACTTTAACATTGCTGCTTTTTATCAACTACATTTTACTTATTTAAAGACATTAAAATAAAATTTTTAGAGACGATAACAGGCCAATGCCTTAAAATACAAATCAAATAATCTCTGATTTATTTGTAAAACTTGTTCACTTAAATGAAAACACCCAATTAAAAGGATCGGTAGCAGTAATTAAGTTACACTGATATGAAAATATATTTAGAGGCAGAAATCAATGACAAAAGCAGCCAAATAACAGCTTAAAACAAAATGCAGCACAGCCCAGCAGAACTGTAGCTAAAATGAGCAAAACAGTAGCCGTCACTGGCAAAAAAGAAGCTAAAATCATTCAAAAAGGTAAAACACATTCATGAATCGGACACAGTTTATATTTTAGGCACAAATCTTTATTTTTCTTTATAAAAATAACACATTTAATCTCGATTTTATAAAATTTAGAAAGCTTTTGATTATAAAAACATTTCAAGACAACAAAGCTTTTTGAAACGAACTTAAATATACGAAAGATTAAAAAAATAAGGTTTTAAGAGCGTTTCAACTAAACCTTTCTGCAATAAGTTACATCTGTTAATCACATTTATATCAGTTTGTGACTGAAGTTCAAAGTAAAAATGAGAACTAAAATTGAAATAAGACTAATTAATCAACATTATTATTAAATATCTCGTCTGTAAATGCTCGTTTCTTCCTCTAAACGTGTTTCTGTAAAAAGTGGACTTTTGGTTTTAACGTTTCAGTGCAAATTCAGAGCATAATCTGCGATCTTTTCGAAAATATTTAAAATCTTTCTGCTTTATTCCTGAAAAACAAACAAAAAATATAAGAAAAATACAGATAAGTAACGCTAGAACTCTCATGTAAATTGAATAAAACACCAAACATCTTAATCTGACTGGAAACTGGGCAGGGGTTCCCAAAGAGCGGGTCGGGGCCCCACTACGGCCCACAAAACCCCAAGTCGGGGGTCCTGATATGAACTATAAAAATATATATTTTTAACATAATTCCTTCTGATATAATAAAAAAACTGGTCAAACTAAAGAAGATATTTGGAATCAGAAGATTTAAGGTTTGAAAACTTCTGAAAAGAGAATAAAAACTCTTGAGTGTCTCCCTCTAGTGGTCAGAATCTGAAACAACTTATTTTTAAATATTAAACTTATTTTCAAACATGTTTCTACAGACAGGATAATCATTGTTAAATAAACAAAACGTTTAAATGTTTAAGTTTGAAATTCTTTATAAAAAATATACTCTGTTGGGAGGTTTAGTTGAACTAAGAGGGATTATACGCGGCACAAGTTCACTTCAAAATTATAAACTTTCACGGCAAAATTTACGTTTTAAAATTGATCGAGTAAAAATTTCCATGTAAAAAAAAAAATTGTCTTGTTTCATTTAAAAATGATGAAGTGAATCAGTTTGATGTTTAGATCTAAACAGATTAAAAACATTTGTTTAAAGTTAAAGACTCGGGAGCTCAGCGTCTCGTGGACATCACGCCATTATCGATCCTGCAGCTCTTCAGGTTGAAGGTTCAATTCCTGGAAAATCAAAAAAATATATATTAATAATAATAAGCACCATTTTATAACTGAGATAACTGGGATTTTAGTTCACCTAGTGATTTGAACTCAAGTTTTCTATTAATTCAATATATATTTATTCTATTAATTAATATTTTTTGTTTATTTCAGTCTGAGCAACAAATACTACATTATTCTGTCATACGATTACACCAATTTATATTTAGACTTTTCTAAGATTTACTTCCGGTTTCACAGAAAAATGTTCCTGTTTCTTTAAAAGTGGGCGTGGCCAGACTTCTGCAAAGTGAGAACCCTTAGTCCAGGGGTGCCCCCACTTTTCCAGCATGCGAGCTACTTTTAAAATGACAGAGTGATCCATCTCTTATACAAATACAAAACATATACTTATTTATAAAAATATGACCGGTAAGTATGCTTTGTTTGTTTTACGTCTCAACTCGATGTAGACGCAACATAAATGACAAAACCCAAAAGTTTGTTAAAAAAAAAAAAAAGTGCCAATTTATTTGTACCGTTTGTGCGTACAAAATAATAAACAAAACATCAATAATTTGCGTTCTTCTCACCTGACTGTAGGGCTGGCTTTTTAACCGTACTTCTTGATAGCGGGAGAGCTTTGATGTAAGATAATATCTCTGGTTTGTTTTTAAAATCTCGCACACGAGCACATAATGACGCTGACATTACGCGGGGGGGGGGGGGGGGGGGGGCGCAAGGGCGGTGAGCATTTTCCGGAGACAACACACACAGAGGCACTGCAGAGTTCAGATAAAATCACTCAGTTCAAGTAGTTCCCTCTGGAGAGATCAGTGCACACTCGGGGGGTGCCCAGGATGACCGACAGAATGTTTATTCAACTGGTTCCTCTGAAAAGTCCGTGGAATTCCTCCGTAGGTGGGGAGGGAGGAGCTGAGCATCAGGTTTACAAAACTTTCCAGGCGAGTTGAGATAAGATGGCCGGTCAAAGCCAGACAGGGAGCCGAATTCAGATGAACACGATTGTTTTGGGGACAGGCAGAACTTTAATGACATCTACCTTGAGTCTGTTTCGGTCCACTCTGTTCTGAAACGTCCAAATTGATAGAATAGAATAGAATTGAATTCAACTTTATTGTCATTGCACATGTCACAGGTACAAAGCAACGAAATGCAGTTTGCATCTATCCAGAAGTGCTTAGCAAGAAAAAAATAGCATGTTCTGGAGAGACGCCGAGCCTCGCATTGTTCACGCGCCGCCATCTTGGTCAAATTAAATGACCATACCAATGAAACGTGCCTGAGAATAATCCCCGAGATCTGATCCATTCTGCCAAGAGTCTGGGTGCTCGAGGCACGACCAAGACATCATATAAGGCAGGCGGCCTGACCAGGTCCAGATTTGCTGCAGACGACTTCCTTGATTGTTGACAGACCAGGAACCAGCCGAATCCAAAAAGCAGGAACCAGTTTTCATAAATCCAATTATAAATGTGTCTTTAAAATCCACAGATGGCAGCAGAGATAAACACGTCATCTTCAAAGTCGATGAGATATCCAGCTGCGTGCGTGCCAACAGGGCAAATCGGCTCACCTAAAGCCCGTCTTCTCTTCGAAGAAATGTCATCAATTGTGTTGAGGGACCAACTGATCAATTACAAGTCCATAGTTATGATTCGGAAGATTTGTAGAAGAGAGGCTCTAAAGCAGTTTCAGACAGGACAGAGCAAAAGCAAAGTGGAGAGGGAGAGGAGGAGAAGACATCCGCCCTTGAGAAGAGCAAGTGTTTATTAAAATAATCAAGCGCGACCCAAACTCAGGCTTTAGTCCCCCTCGGCGATCACAGAGTGGGCCGGGCCATCGGGAAATGTCCCGGTGCTCCCGATGGCCAGAGTGCCCCCCGGCACTTCTTGGCTCAGTGAACGCAGCAAACGTCCCTACTTTGTGATTTTCACCTATCGTGGGGGTATCTGGAATGTAATCCCCCTCGATAAGTGAGGGACTACTGTAGTCTGAAAACGCCGCTCCAGTACACTTGCAGATGAGGCAAACGCACTTCGAATAGGACAGGGTGAAAACAAACAAAAAAAAAATCTCCTCCCATTCCGTATGGAAATCGAAAGGTTTTTGCTTCTTACTTGGTCCAGCTCCCCAACTCATTTTACACACTTTTGAGTTTAGATGAGAAGAAATAAACCAGAGGCTATCACCAGGCAACTCTGTAGATTTTGGCGCGGTTGTATGCACATGTGTGGCGACACCGTGTGTCAGAAAAGATACGGTCTCAGATTGGCTAACCTGTATGTCAGTCAAGTGACAAATTTCATACTGAGGATGGACTGATAGGTTGACGTCTAAAAAAAATTAATAAACCTATATCTATATATCTATCTCTCT